TTGGAATTTTTTGAATAAAATTATTTTTGTTAAAATTGAATAATCACAACTTTTCATGAACTGGTACGATTTTTGTAAAGGTTATGTCCTTTTATCAAAAGACGTAACTTTATATGAAAAGATATGACTATTTGAATGACCACAAATAGTCTATAAATACGTGATTCTTCTAAGTTTTGCAAAACAAAAAATCATCCCTCAAATTTCTCTCTTCTCCTCTTTGTACGAGTATACTTAAATACTGTGAGTTCATTGAGTCCTGTGTTTGAAGTGTTGCATTCACAGGTTGGTATATCCGTCCTATCCTGGGAGACAATTGTTCATGATACCTTGAGCATCGTAGAGGGAACAAAATTGTCTTAAGGAAACAACGCTATGTTGGGTTCGGATTTTTAATTTTGTGTTTCCTTAAGTTTTCTATGCATATTTCTCCAACACTCATCTCATCTCAATTCCAGCTTTTCATTTCTCTTTATAACTCTGTTCACTTGTTTTGCTCTTGTATTTTCAACATTTAGTTTCAAGTTTAATTCTTTTCTTAAATTGTTCTTTATCTTTTTATCCAGTTGATTTACTTTCTGGCCACTCGTTTAAATCACATTAGTTTGAGTTTAATTCTGAAAATGTTAAAGTAAAACAGAGCTCGTGAAAATAAAACGGAAAGTTACTTGGAAATAAGAACTAAAACAATAACCTAGACATAGGCTCTCTTACCCGTTAAACGAAAGTTGAATTTTAAATTATTTAGGATTCTAGTGTTTTATAAACGTGTGTGAATGCTAACCTAAGCTTTTAAATAAACCAAAAAGTGGTATGAAATAAGAGTCGAACCAGTTTGCATAAAGTGAGCAAAAATATGTCTGGTGCATCTACTAAGTGTAAATAACCTTTTAAAACTAAGCAAAAGTAAGGGTTGACTTTTTAATTTTTGTTTTCCTAGTATTTTTAGACTATGTTTCCATCAATTTCAACTATTTTATCACAAACCTAATTTCTCTTTCAAGCGATTTGCAAATTTATTTGGAAAGAAAACTAGTCCACGTGGAGACGAACTTGAAATATTTCTATATTATTATTTGTGACAGTATGCACTTACACACTGCTTTCAATTGTTAAGCAGAGGCGCAACACTATATCCTTTAAGTCCTTGAGGATAACCCAAAAATAGGCACTTCTTGGCTTTATGATCGAGTTTTCCTTCCTTTGAATGTGCGTATGCAACACATCAAAAAACACGTAAGTTACTCATATTAGGTGGTTTTCCTGTCCGTTTCTATAAGGGGGTTTTAAAACCGACTGCTGATGAAGGACAACAATTTATCAAATAAGCGGCTGCTGTCACAGCTTCTCCCCAGAACCTTTTGAGCAAATTTGCATTTGATAACATACATCTCACTCTTTCAAGAAGTGTTCCCTTCATCCTTTCAGCCAAGCCATTTTGCTGCTCTCAATCCCTTCCTTTTTGCATATTTGTCTAAAATTTCCACTCAGAAATTCTAAACCATTGTCGGTTCTTATCACTTTGAGTTTTCTCCCAGATTGCCTTTCAACTAAAGTCTTCCATTCTACGAACTTTGTAAATGTTTCATCTTTAGTTTTAAGAAGGAATACCCATACTCTTTGAGATAAGTCATCTACAATGGACAAAAAATATCGAGCTCCACCTAATGTAGATGTTCTTTCAGGTCTCCATAAATCCGCATGGACATAATGTAGAATGCCTTTTAAGGTTTATGTTCCTTTTCCAAAAGACACTCTAGTAGCCTTTCCATATATACAGTGTTCACAGGCATCTAGAGTACCTACTCGGCAACTTCCTAACAGTCCTTGTATATTCGGTTCTTTTAGTTCTTGTTCACTGACATGGCCTAATTTCATGTGCCATAGTTTTGCATTTTTCTGTCCTTTTGAGGAAGCAATGGCTGTTGAACCAATTACAGTATTTCTTTTTGAGTATTGTATAATCCATTTATAAGCTTACCTTTCAGCTTAATCATGGCTCCCTTAATTATCTTCATGGTGCCATTTTCTCTTTTACATACATATCCTCCTTTCTCAAATAAACCCAGAGACAGAAGACTTCTTCGTAGCTCAGGAACATATCTCACTTTAGTAAGAACCCTTATCTGGCCATCAAACATCTTTACTTGGATTGAGCCTATACCTTCTCCACAACATTCCTGATTATTTTCTAGAAGGACTTTTCCTCCTTTAATGTTTTCAAAATGTTGATACTATTCTCTATTTGGGTCATATGAAATGAGCACCTAAAGTCCAGCACCAGTCATTATTTATTTCTGACTCAGACAGCTACGACTTCAGCAGATCATAATGAGATTAACAGGATAACTAGCCTTGTTTTCATCGAAAATCTTCTCATCAATGTTATCCAGATCAAGAGTAATACGATTCAACTCCTATAAATTATGTTCTAGGTCCTTACTAGAATCCATCTTATATCCAAAGAATTTCTCCTTTACATATAATTTCTTGTTTCTTAACTATTTTTCATTTCATGTTTTTTGTTTCATCCTTTTTAAATAAAGAAAATTAGAATTTGGTAAACTATTTCTTATTTTTTGTTCTTTCTTTTTCTTAACATGTTTGGTTTGCCCCCTTTTTTGTTTTTGTTCTCTAAAATTTTTTGTTTCTTTTTTTTACTATTTATTTTTTAATATTTATTATGCATTTTAAAAGTAAAAATCATGCTTTTATTTATGTTTTTGAAAAAACTAAAAACAGGAACAAGAAACTATAAACTTGATTATGTTCCTCCCAATATTTTTACATAGTTTTCCAAACGTTACTTAAAATGAGAAATAAGACACAAAAATAGTTACTAAAAGCTAAGGCCCCGTTTGGTAACGATCTTGTTTCTTGTTTCTTATTTCTGTTTCTTCATTTTTAATAAAGAAAAATGAATTGTATGGTTCTAACATCCATGAACTCAAGAATGATACTACACTATTCTTACTTATGTTTTGGAGCAAATGGGAAATGGGAACACGAAAAAAGAAACTTGTTTTGGTTGTTTCCAAAATTTCTATACAATTTTGGAAATGTTCCAAAAAAATAAGAAACAAGAAATGTAGCTAGTTGCAAGATGCTTCGATTTCTTAAAGAAAATTGGAAACGAGAAACAGGAAACATGAATGTTACCAAACGAGCCCTAATATTTCTTAAAAATTGGAATTGAGAAACAAAGAATCAAGAAATGAAGATGTTATCAAACGACCCTACACTAACGAGTTTCAACATATTTTTACAATAAGCTAACATATTTTTAGTCCCTCTTCTCCATTTTTACTGCTTAATTACCAATTATCATTTTTGTGTCTGAAAGTTTATCACTAACAATCTTGAGTTTTTTAAGATTTTAGAGAATTAGTCATATGAAATTACCGATTATCCTTGAGTGTGGAACAAAAGTGGAGACCCTCACAATATGACGAGCCAATGGAATGGTTGATCCAGCTTAGGTAATTTAACTTCAAAATTGAAGTCGATCCGAGTAAAGCTAAAACACAGTTGGAACATAAATCAGTTTTTTAGAATCCGTTTGGCAGTTCTTGCTTTCTATTTCTCATTGTTTGTTAACAAACAGACACGTTTGGCAATCCATCTATTTCTTGTTTCTTAAATTAGAGTAATAATTGTCGAAAATGGGTTAAATTTTGGAAACTAAAAAAATAGTATTATTCTTTTAGTTTCTATTTTTCGTCCATAGTTTAGAAAATAAATGATTTCCCAGTTAGTTGGTGAACATGTGTACCTATATGCCCTTTCCAGCTTCCAAATGTCTAGATTAAACCTTAGAATAACAAAACTGTATTTCTTTTATTTATATACATAGATTTTTTATTTTTAAATTAAAAATATTTAGAAAATGTATCCATTATTCAAAGCTAGTAATTTGGACTTTATAATCAAACAAAGTTATACCATAAATTATATTTTCTTTAGTGAATTATATGTTATATCTTTTTATATTATATCTACTCAATTTTATTTTAACTAAAAATAAAAATAAACTAACTTAGGTAAGACACATATTTCTGATTAAGAAGTCGTGAGTTTGAATTCTCATCCCCATAAATTGTTTGTACTAAAAAAATACAAACAATAAACAGGAAATAGTTATTAAACAATAAAATTGATGTTTTAGAAATTACAAGTATTTTATGCATTTGACCATGCATTCATAGAGTTAATAATTACAATTTGAAGTTTTGTTCGTTTATATGTTTTTATTTTCAGTTTTCTGTAGTTAAATATTAAACTTGTGGTCCACCCTTCTTTTATATTAAAACATCTACTTTCAAAACCATTTTCAAAATCAAAATAAACAAACAAACAAATAACTACAGGAAGGAGTTCAAAGTCAAAAGCAGCCTCCAAATCATCCTAGAATATCTAGCATGAACTTAACAAAAAGGTTTGCAATACAAATATCTGCAGCAGACAATCTAAAAACACAAGAAGCACAGACACTTTAATTTGGGTACTCTATCGAACGGTTCTTAGGAATAACAAATAGACATGAATAGTAATATAAGCTAAAAATCGTAAATTCTGAGTGCAAAATATATCAAACTTACTTTTTTAAAGCATAAAAACGGATAAGTTATAGACTTTGAATTTCTTTAAATTGATATATACTTAAAAAAACATGGTATGTTTTAATAAATGTGTCCTGCATCCGTATCCTAAATTTTTAGGAAATGACATGGCATTGTAACCGTGTCGTGTCATCGTATCTATATCTGTGCTTCTTAGCTAAAATCGGTCGGAAAGATTTTGATAGCAAGATTCAAATTGAATCACCATAATGATGGAATTTCCTAACAGAAAGTATCAAACCAGAATCCAAGATGGTAATTTTTCCTTTTTCCCTGTTTCAAGATTTTGCCAGTTTATATTGCATTTCTTTGTTACCAAGCGGTTGAATGGCAAAAAGTAAAGAAAATATCACTCAATGGAAGAAAAGTAGCAAGGGAAGAAGTACCTCATTTTCCTTAAATATTGAAACTAATTTATCTGAGAAATGTATTACAATGATATACCTAACAGATGAACTTCTAGGACGCCTGAGTTTCATCCTACACTACCGAAACTCGGGAAAAATCTGCATTCCTACACCCACCCCATCCCTCCCCCTGGCCCGGTCCTACCCTCGACCTCGGCCTCAGCTGAGGAAATGCAATACAAATTACTCTGATAGAATCAGCAAAAACTGTTGACTTTGCAACAAGATTCAGCAGATAAAAAAATGGAGAAAAAAACTGTATGGGACAAATCACATCCCAAGATTGTTAGAAGTATCCTAGGAAATTCTCAAACGAAATGATGAGTAGGGTATTCATACTCATATCCATTGTAGTCATAATAAAGCCTCTCCCCTTTAGCAATATCACGGATAGCGACCAAAATGACCCGGCATTCGCCGTTGACATTGTATCTCACACATTTACAGTTCTGTTTCTTCTTACCTTCTCTGCACAAAAATGGAATATGGTTTCAGCATCATGAAATTTAACTCTCTCTCAAACATTAGACGAAGGAAAAGAGGAAACAAAACTAAACATAAGATGAAAGCTTTAAGGAAATATAATCTATTGAAGATATGGCCGTGAGGTGCACTACTTAGACGTGCATAAGACAGTTTTTTCTTTTTCCTCTTCATAGACAAGGCTGATACCTTAGAAGAATATATAGATACAGAAAATGTGATAAGCTTGATTGACTTACGGAGAATGATTATTTATTCCGTTAATAAAGCGGGCAATGTTTCCACGTTTGTCTGGGCAGATGACAAGACTTCGAGACGGATCGTTTGCTGAAAGAAGGGTCATCAAACTATCACCATCGTCGTGTTCACGATTCTTAAGATAATCCACATCACCCGTATATTCAACAATAAACGTCATGTCCTTAATTTGGTCATCAGCTTCTACCGTAAAACTACACCATAAATTGAGCATTGGCCTACTCAATATAGAGTTGGAAGTTTATGGCAAATATGGTCTACAAAAGTTCAAGATAAAGTTACCCTTCACATGAATCAAAAACAACTAAAAGGGGAGGGCATTCGCCTCTTCGGCTCATCGCTCTGCAGAGTTCCAAGGTCTCAGCATCCTCTTTGGAGAGAACCTAAAATAAGAGGCAGATATCATAATCTATTCTCACTATTAACAGCAAAAATTTTGAACTGGAAAATGATTCCAAATGGTTCTAAGTTTTAAAAACCTGCATTCCACCATCTTCATACTCTGCTTGATTAGCAGATCTAGAAGCCATGCCTGGCACGTAAGTCAGATCATCACTAAACTCCATTTGAAATGTTGTTAAAGCAGTAGCAAGTGAACCCATCTGTTTCAATCTGCGAGCGGGATCTTCACTTGGAAGAAATGGCAGTAATCTTCTCCTCTTCTTCTGCCACACCAAAGACCGCAATCGTCTCCTACGCTTTATAGCTTCAGTTCATGATGCGATTGGTATTATATTAAAATGATGAATCCATGATAATTCTAAATGACAGGTACATCAAAAGAAAACAACCAACATGAAAGGATCACTTCAGGAACACCTATAGTGTGGAAAAGTTTCAGCAGAGAACTTATAGAAGATCTCAAATGGTCTGAGTCCAAAAAATCTCATAGAATACCAACATGAAAGGATCACTTCATGAACACCTTTGGGGTAGAAAAGTTTCAGCAGAGAACTTCTAGATGATTTATTACTGCCAAATGGTCTCAATCCAATAAACTCAAAGGAGATTCAGGGGAATGTGTTATTAAAAATCAAGTATGGTTTTCGTATCAACGGTATGATTATGACATCCCCATCGGACAGATATATGTCATAAGATTTTATTTATCAAATTTTCTGGAATTATCCTATCTGACATATGTTAGGCACATATCATAAAGCATAAACATCTTAGTATGTCTCATTTAACAACAAAGATTTCAAGTTAGCACAAGAATAAGGTGGTGAAATCCTTGATGTTTAAAGGCTGATGGATGTCCACTAAAATTTTATGCAGAAAGATATATAGAATCAGAATAATAATTTGTACAGAAAGATAAAAAGCATATACTGTTCGAATACTTGAAATTGGAAAGCATTTCCGGAGGACAATAGCATAGTAAGATATAAAAACGAGTACCAGAAGGTATACGATCACGAAGAAGATTATAATACAAAAGTAATATCCTATCGATTTCGAATACTGTAATGATGAATTTACCTTGAGCAGATAGATATGGGGCTTCTTCATCTTTACATTTCTGAATTCGGAAAAAATCGATAATCTTCTTCTGAGAGAAACCTAGAGGATAAACAAAGAAACATTGACATTCGGAAGATTATACAGCAAACGAAATGGAGAATGAATGAATAAATTGGAGAGCATCGATCCATACTTCTTACTCTTTTTTGTCCAGAGCATTTGGGGCAAAGCCAGGATCCAATCGGGACCCTAACGACGATCGGACTAACGCATTTCATGTGAAAGCCTTTATCGCATTTATCACAGAGAAGGAGCTCGTGGTCGCGGTCGCCGGAGCCACATTTCTCGCAGCTGACGTCGTCGTAATCGTCCCGTTCGAGCACGGCGTACTTAGCCCTGGCCATGACCTCCGCCATTGGCTTGAGCTTCCTCGGGGGAGGCGACATTGAGGAGGGCCGGCGGGGGGCGTGGGTGCAGCGGATGAGGCGCTGGGCGGCGGCGGAGGAGGAGGAGGAGAAAGCAGGAGTCATGAGGAGGGGGCCAAATTGGGAACACGGAGAATTGGGGAATCGATAGGAAATGGAAAGAGGGGGAATCAATTGGGCGTAGGCCACCACTCCCCTGTGGCTCTGCTCAGAGGTTCTATGGAAGACGAAAATGGCGGAATTTGTTAGCTCTATTTCTCTCTCTCTCTCTGGGGGAATGGTCTCTCTCTCTCTCTAGGGAAGGAGGGAGGAGAGTGCGCGCAACGTTGCAATGACGTGGAAGATTGTGATTGGATGGGCTAACTTACGCTTCTGTGGGGGCGCGCACGGAATTTTATGCTCAACTTTTCAACCTAGGGAGCACAAGAAGAAGAAGAATGACTAGCTTGAATTTCTCCTCCTACTCTATCATCAACCATTTAAATGTCAATAATAGGACAACGTCACCCAACCATATTTGCTATATTTTTCCAATCAAAAAGTTGTGAGTTTTATTTTTCACCCTCACATACTGTACTACTAGAAAAAGACTATTGATGTCTCAATTTTATGAAAATATGGATGGAAATATTGATAAAATATCGACGTCGATGGATATTTTAAAAAACTTTATAAAAATAAAAAATTCGTAAGAAATATTTAAATCAATAAATCTATTGGTAAATAAGTTAAAAACCATTAATATTAATATTGTGTTTATATTAGTGATATTTTGTTGATATTTTTTTAAAAAAATTCGATTTTTTTTCAAGACTATAGAAATGTTGATGGAAATATCAAAGAGTGGATGAAAATTTAATACTCTGATTAGATTCAATACCATACCTATGATCAATTTGAGTATTGATTGAGTGGATAATGATGTGTTTGTTTGGTAATCTAAAAACAAGAGATTTGAATGAAAAACAGGATTGTATTCGATGTTATTATTGTTTGCGAATATGTGTTTAGTAGTAGATTTGAAAACCGAGTCTTAATTTAAAAAATTGTTCAATGTGTATAGTAACACATCATTAGTGGTTAGAAACTAAATATTTAGTTAATCTAAAATTTTATTAATTCATTTATTAACATATATGTTGTAAATTTTGTATAATCATTATAATAATGTTATATAATTTTTTTTTAAAACTATAATGTTATATAAGTAATAATATATTATGTCTTACATATTTCAATAAAATGAATTTATCACTGGTGTATATATATATATATATATATTTAGTAATTATGCATTTTAATGTTTAGACTAAAAATACTAAAAACATAGAGAGTTTTGAGTATTTAGATCACACGATTTGCCAAACACAAAATTCAAATGGCATAGTAAAGGAGAGGGCTAAGTTTGTGGTTTACGAATCTTAGAGTAATGAACACTAAAAGAAATATGATTTTTTTTCTGACACTTTAAAACGTTGAGAAAAACCTTTAAAAGTCATGAATGACTTTTTTTCGACTAAAAAAATGCATGGAGAAAAAAGTCGGGCAAAATGCGTCGGGAAAGGACACTCTCGATGGTTTTTCAAAAGAGGTTGGGAAAATGTTACTTTTCCGACTGTTTAAAAAAGACAATAAAAGTTCACTTTTCCCGACCTTTTCAAACCATCAGGAACTCGGATGTTTTTTTTTTTTTTAAAGTCGGGAAAAAATGATTTTCCCCACAGTTTTTTAAGGGTCGGGGAAAGTTATATTCTCCCGATTTTTTATTTATTTGCTTCTTGTATCCATACTAATTTTAATGATCCTAGTTGAGATACTTAATTTAAGATATTTCAATTAACATTAAATTTATATTAAGCAAATATCAAATAATATGATATTTATATTAAATAAAATAATTAGGTTACAAAAGTTACAACATTTTAAAAGTTAAAAAACAAACTGTCCTTTGTTTATGAAATCTACTTTATTTTGGAAAAGTTTTAGAGTAGCCCAATCAAAATAAGTGAAAATGAAGCATAGATTCTAAAATAAAAAAATCATAAAAGAGTAGTCAAATCATAATAACCTGAAAATGAAGCATAGATTCTAAAATAAAAAATCATAAAATATGCAGCAACCTTAGAGATCATATATATCAAAACACAAGGTCAAGTACAATCACATCGAACCTAACCTACACCCAAGTTAAAAATGCAAAATCAAAGTCTGGATTAAACATAAGAACAACTATATAATTCAATATCTAATTCATATATCAAGATAACAACTATAAACATAACTCACCCCCTAAAGATACTAAATAACTTAACCAACGATCACGTCAAAGCAACCCCCCATTTTCAAGCAAGGATCATAAATAACCAAATGTTTTATGAGTTTGAGTAGGGAGAAAATGGACTCACGTTTCAGACTTAGAATAGCAATAATCCTTAAACCTTAGATTTTTTGACCATATTAATAATTAAAGGTGAGTATCAACCAGGAGTAGGCTATATATCGCAAAATCCATCATAATCACTTCCTTTCACTACCAGAAATAAGTCTTAACAAGAAACAAAGTCGAGCATAATTCCAAAACACCAAATGAAATGTCAAGCAACGATCATAAATAACCTAATCCCCTTTCTGGCACTCTCTAAATCATCATTCACATTATTAAGCATAGGTGAAAATTTCAATTCATCATAAATCATATCAACAACATAAACAAAACTCACCCCTAATGACATTTTATAGTTACAATCATGATACAAATTCTAAACCATAAGTCAAATTCTCAATAAAGCCTATATTACAAGATACAAACGCTCATGCATAATTTTAAAACTTCCACCTTAATTTCTTGCTACAATCTTATAGAATAAAAACTACCCTCAAACTGGTTACCATAACTGTAAGATAGTCATGGGTAGGGTAAAGAGTTTCAGTGATTTACACCTCGAAATAGAGTGTGTAAATACCGGATGAATAGGTTGAGTCATTCGCTAAACAACTATTTTGTTGGGCGATCAACCAAGTGCTCCTACCCAAGCGGACTAATGAATGCCAATTGGAAGAACTCACTTTCCTATTGTTCAATAAGAGATCCCTTCTTGTTTGTGGTTGGAAAATGATGACCTGTTGCTAATGGGGAGAGATCTTTTATTAGGGTTTGATGCTCAAACTCTAACAGATGAATTCACAGAATTAAGCCTCAACAAACAAAACAATGCACAAGGCTAACAATTTATTCAAATTTCAAAAACTCTCACAAGTCAGAGTAAACTTCCATATTTTCTTTCTCTAAAGCCTCATCAATTGTGTCTGTGTCTTTTGTTTCGTAATTTATTAAACGCGCATGGTAAATATTTTTATCATTTAAATCTCACAATTCAAACAATAAAGAATAGGAAAATTTGTGTCTGGATCTCACATATTCTAGAAAGATCACAAAACTTCAACTAATCTTCAACTAGAAAAATAAAATATATTAGCAAGTCGTTGAGAGAGGAGAAAATTCTAAGAATGGAAGATGATTTTTCCTGGACAACTTTCCTTTTCATATAGATTGTGCTCTCTTTCTTTAGCCAATTAGAAAATCCTCTTTAGAAGAGAAATTTTCTTTAATAAAAGATCATATAATAAATTAGGAATTGTGTGTCATGTTTTCCTTATCGGAATTTATCTCTATATTTACAAAAGTAGCTTAGAACTCTGTAATTCTCAATCTACAACGCGTCCTAACACAATAAGGTAGGTCCACACAATTTTATGTGAATTATTTTCTATACATGTCTATGGAATAAGGTTCATCCACGTCGCTAACACGAGTTTATTCAACGATAATCGGTACTTATCTCTGATAAGAGATGATGAGTTCGAATCCTCCCACTCCCATTTGTTGTACTTAAAAAAATGTTGCATCCACGTCTTATATCTATGAAGTGCTTCTATATTGTCGTTGAAGCTTCAATTTTCTCGTAAAACTGTAATTTTGAATTCTTATTTATCTATATCGTCAATTGGTACGGTATTGAATTATTGTCATTAAAAAAAACCATACTTTTATCATAAAAACGTATATAAAATTATTTAATTAATTATGGGTATCTTTTGCATGTTATGAGTTGTAGGATGAAAGAGGATGAAATCAATACCAAAATTATCCAAAAGTGATTATGAATGAGAAGAAATAAATGTGAACAAAAGTGATACTTGCAGACCAACTTGAACCTAATTCAGCAATTAAGAACTTAATTCAAATTCAACATGAAAAAGCAATGAATTGTCTTGCCCATTATATCTAGAGTGAGTTTATGATGACAATTGAGAGTAATGCTTTATTTGAGGCCATAGTTTTAATAAGCCTTTTTCTATTTTTTTAAGAAGCACTCCTAAGTAAGGTTGAGTTTTGTATAACTTGATTTCAAGAATGCTAGTTTAAGAATGAGAGATTCTCTTCTCTTTGATCCTTACTACCCAACCAAAGAGCGTACAACAACTAATGCATCCACTTATTTAATATAGGGCGCTATGGTCCGTTTGTGACCTTTGGATATTGAAGATTTGTTTGGAGTGATGTTGTTGAGAAATTAATGATCTTGAATAATTTATCGGAATATCTAAACACACACCACAATATGTAATTAAGGAAGAAACTGTAAAACACAAGAATAAGATACAACAAAATTATACTGGTTCACTAACTAAGGGATACGCCCAATTTTCCACTCAAATGTGGGTAATTCACTAATATTGTCAAGAATTTGATTACAATAAACTCTCCTTAAAAATATCCCCTAGAGGTCCTAACAAAAGTCTCCTAGCTTTTAAGTATTTAACCCCAATAATACTTACGTACATTGATGAAAACTCACAATAGAATCAAGATACAATACCCCAAATACGATGATCTCGATGTGTTCGTCTGTTGCCAGCAACTTTGAGCCCTCGCCTCTGAAATATGCCACAAAAAACTCCCAAATAGACTGCTGAAGAATACTCGTAGTTGGCCCCTTTGATTTGGAATTAAAACCCATGGCTTCCGCCCCTTACCTTTTGATTTTCGGCTCAATGTATTTATGTTTCACGGCCACACACATATATGACAAAAAATAGGGCAAACCTAAATTTGGGCTTTTGACCCATTATTCGATTTTCACCATTTTTTTTCCTTTTATTTTGAATCCAAATCCCAACAATCTCCCACTTGGAGACAAAATAACAATTTCGCCTCCTACTACAACAATAATGTCCCCTCATGACTCAGTTCTAACTACTCTGTCAACGAACTAA